ACTCAATGTGGGGGCTTGAATTCACAATCCGAGATCAAGAGTCGCATGCTCCACCTACTGAGCCAGCCAGGTGCCCCAACAGGTCTCTTTTGAAGGCAAGTTAGCAAAGCTCCCACTTATCACAATACGTTGTACTTGTCCTATTCATCAGTCTGCCTCACTCCTCACCTCCCCAGGATCTTGCCCAGGAGAGCCTATAACAGATATTCAATAACCACTCTAACAGTGCTGGGTGCCAAAGGAAGAGGTGATGAACAAGACTTGGAGATGGAGAAATGGAGCATTGAGCAAGAAGTAAAAATTGATAGTTTGACTTAGGGCTTAAATTTATTTATTTACCCCTCCTTTAGCTCACTGTATGGCATTACCCTGTTAGTTCCTTCATACAACTATTTTTATCTGAAAGCAAATACTTATTTGCATGTTATTTTTTTTTTAAGTAAACTGTACATCTATCACCTAACACCACACTCAAACTCAAGACCCCAAGATCAAGAGTTGAATTACTTATTTGCATGTTTATCGCCTGCTATAATAGGACAGGAATCTCTATCTTGCTCATAACTGTATCCTGATAAAATACAGTGCCTAGAACATCATGCAATAAATAGTTCTTGAATGAATGAATGACCACAAGGAAATAAACAAGAAGCATTTTGACTAAATATAAATGTAGTCAGTATCTTACAGATTTTTTTTTAAGTTCTAGGTACTGGGGCTCATACTTTGTTTGCCCTTTTTTTTTTTTTTTTTTTTAAATAGTGGCTCTCCTCCCAGGTGCTAGGCACATGCCAAGCTTTATACTTATTGTCTCATTTAATTGCCCAAATCCCTCTTGGGAGTAAGCACTCTTTTTTTTTTTAGGCACCCCACGTTCAACATTTTTTGAGCACAGTTGAAAATGAAAGAGGAGAGGGATAACTTGTCAGAATCATTTTAGAAGGTATAGCCATGGAAAAGGTATGAAGATTATTACTGCAGTTACTTTCAGGAGCCATGGGAAGGTTCTGAACACAAGAATAATGTGATGTTTCAGTATTTCACAAACCACTGCTTGGGATGAGGGTAGAGGCAGGGGAACAGCTGAGATCATTGAAGTAAACCCAGGTTATATGATGGTCTGGACCAGAGTGGGTGTAGTTAGTAGAAGCAGTGAGAAGTGGTTCAAGTTTAAATACAAGTTGAGGGCAGAGCCATCAAGGTTTGCTAAGTGATCTGATGTACCTTGCTGAAGGAGAGAGAGAGAAAGGTCAATAATAACTCCAGCTACAGGGTTGGAGTTGATCAATTTATCTGCTCATCTATAAACTCCTCTCTGAAATGGCTTTGATAGACACTCTTGGACTCAGAGCTGTGGTATAGGGTTTAAAGGAGCTATACCACGCCTGAACTATAAAAGGTGTCATGCCAAACCCCCTAGGAAAATATAACAAACTTTAGCTATTGTCCTGGACTTCCCTCTTCAAAGTGGATCTTCATCTCATCCCTGATGTTTTCAGAGCTGATGTTTTATCTTGTTTTCACACGGAATTCTACTCTTACAGAGGGCAAGAGTTAGTTGTAGATATCTTTGCATTCCCAGTTTATGTCCCAGTGCCTGAACATGTATTACTTAAGTACTTGTTGACTATCTTCTTGCCACATCTCATTGATACGATGTTTTTAGAAATCTATTATCCTTTGATCTCTCCAATACCTTGGGTTCCAAATTTCTTAACCTGACCATGAGGCCCATTTTCTTCCTCTCCTCCCTAACTGCCTCTTAACCCCCATAATCCATACATGTAGATGCTGGTGACAAGCTAAGAATGTATACCCTTTCAAAGACACGTTCAACTTTTTTTTTTTT